CTGGCACAACTGCTCTGTTGAGACTGAGGAAAGAAGGCAGGAAAGATCGTAGCAATGGGGACATCTGGTAGGCTTTTGTGTGCCCTTTACCTCCACATGCTTGCTACGTGCATGTAACGCTTGCTTTGTATGCATCTTACAGGTCCTGTGAGCTAAAGTTTGGATGTAGCAAACAGGGGAAAAAGTAAGTCCCTGTAAATAACTGTTGGGTGTTTTCCTAGTTTTCCATAAGATTTCCACGCTACTGTGCTTGACAAATGAAAGAAAAAAGGAAAACCCAGAAATGAATTAGCCATAAGTCACATAAATTTATTACAAATCAAACCCACTTGATGCAATTTTCCAGCAAAGCTTTTACTGATTTAAGTCGGAAACCAAAATCGTAGCTGGCAGAGCAAAATCGTTGCATATGTCAGTTCCTAATTCAGCTTAGTCACTGTCACCATACTCCAGGGCATTCAGAGGTCATACCTGATTAACCCAAGTTAACAATCTTACATCTTCTAGTACTGAGGCCCCACTTAAAATGAAATTGGAGAATGCAATCCTTCATCTACATGCTCAGTCTTTCCTAACAGCACAAGCAGTAATTCAGTCTCAGATTTCTCAAAAAATCTCTTGCAGGCTCACATTAAAAACAGATGGACTGTGCTCCATGGGAACAGCAGACCGCCTCACATTTTTTTCTGGGAAGATGTGTTTAAAAAGTAAATGAAGGCAGTAAGGATAAAAATATACGTTGTCGTTATCTACTGACCTTTCTCAGCCAAAGCATCTGGGGAGGATTGCATTCACCAGGCACCATGGAAAAAAGCAACAGGAGGGTTTTTTGCTAAAAAGGACTAATTTTCTTTCAAACACTGTTAGAGTACTGAGTTTTCCTAAGGTTTTCTGTTCTCTTCCTCTCCCCATATATACTGGGTTTTGTTTTTCTTTGTATCATAATACATTCTCACAAAAATTCACTTTTAGTTTCTTTTGAGAAAATGCTGGCACTAGGTTGGATACATGAAGGTATGTGTTAACTATCATAGATTTCAAGTTAAAATGAGATATGCAATTAGGATGAGGCCTTTGTGACTCCACCACTTGTTTCTTCATCATTTTTTTCAAGGTATTCTCCCACTCCTTTAAAAAAAACAAATGAAAAACACACACACCCCAAAAAAAACCCCAAAAACCCACCTACACAAAAAAAAACACCTTTTCTCCAACAATTAGTTTTATTCTGTTTCCCTCCTCTTTTGAGACAGGTCAGAGCACAGTCTGACTCACCATTCAAAATCAGGTTTTTGGTTTGTTAGGAGGGGCCTGAATGTGAAAGTCTTTGATTTTTCTCTTCACAAGCAGAAAAGAGGCTTGCATACTTCAGGAAAACAGTTAAACAAAACAAAAAAAAGCAGAACCACTGCCACACACACCCACACCCAATTTCTATCAAAATTATTAAACTTCCACCCGAGACTTAGCAAAATAGCTAAACAAACTTCAGTTTGAAGTGATGTTACAATAAAACATAAGTAGCTGGGTAAGAGTCCACTTAATCTTTCCGCATTATAACAGCTGGTTATGAAATGTGATGTTTAAATGGTAGCACTATGGTAAGCAGAATTCTTTGGTAGAGGGGAAAAAAGTAGAGGGGGAAAAAGAAGAAAGGTTATAAAGCTTAAATCAGAAATTTGTCTGGTAGAGATCACTACTTAACCATGCCTTAAAACTGACGAGTCATGCAGTGATAAGGACTATTCAACCAATGGAGTAATTTTAAGATAAGAATCCATGTATGCTAAAAGGTTCGGGCCTTCACGCCACATTTCATTACTGCAAGACATTTGGCGGGATATGTGAGGGGCCTCTGAGGAATTAAGATTTCATTTCCTTTATTCTTTTCAAAGACACACTATCATGAAGGATGGAAAAAAATTTCAGTGAAGGAGACAAACTTACTGCCTTCTTGAAGCATCTTAAACTGTCCTAGAATACTTCCTAGAATCTAAAAATGACCTCAAAAATAATATCCTTCCATTGGCTTTCATTTTATTTTTATCTTTTTAAAGAAATAGATGAAGTGAAAAGTATTTGGAGCTTTAAGGTTAGGGCCTAAACATCTTCTTTTCGCAGCACTAGAGAAAGAGACTTAAGAAAAATGTGTGTACTTGTTAGCAAATTTTTTTTTTTATTAAAAATGTTGGTTTTAAAAAAATAAGATCAACTGAGTAATTGTCAATCTTTCAAAATAAGATCCAACAATTCCAGAAAAGGCTGTTTAAACAGACTTGCCATCTTTGATTTTTATCAAATTTTAGGAGAACTGTTATATAGGCTAAGTCAGCTCTTAGATAAAAAAAAACAGTGATTGGTTTTAAAAAAATAAGATCAACTGAGTAATTGTCAATCTTTCAAAATAAGATCCAACAATTCCAGAAAAGGCTGTTTAAACAGACTTGCCATCTTTGATTTTTATCAAATTTTAGGAGAACTGTTATAAGTCAGAAGTCAGCTCTTAGATAAAAAAAAACAGTGACCATGGCACGTTTTTTCCCTTTTTTTTTTCTTTTTTAAAATCTTTGGGTCATGCTATACATCTCTGCAATGAAAGTCCATTGCCACAAATAACCCATTGCCTCTTCATGAAATAAAATTAAGTGCACCAGAATAGGTCATCTTTGCTAAACATTTGACTTGAATTAACAGAGCTGGACTAATATCGTCCCCCTTTCTCCGGTCAGAGGAATGTGCATGACAACATAAAGTAAGTAGTATCAGAACACTTAACAGCAGCTGGTTTATATTTTAGCACCTGAAACTCCTAACAGCTGCATTGGGTTGATATATGAGGGTCCTGATGTCATTACAAAGCTTCAAGATACATGGCTCATGAGAAATGGGAAGAAAGGGCCTCTTTGGAAACAGACATCCAAGCTGAAAATAATCAATAAAACCCACATTCTGAAGAAAAAGAGCATCTGTGAGTTTCATCAGGCTTCAACAGTCTTCCAACAAACACGCCACTGAGAGTTTACAGTTCTTGCTATAAGCCACGTTAAGGAGAGCAATACAGGCAACCCTTACCTCAGCTAAATATATGTAGCACTAATTTAGAGCAGGAGTATGCATTGTTTATTTATGTGAGAACTAAAAGGTTGGAATTCCTTGGCTGGAATGAATGGGGATAAATCCATGGTTCAGCAGAAAACTGCGATGCAACAAAGTTTTGGTTAATTTGAATAGAGTACTGCCCTCCCTGTTACCTAAAGATCTCAACTATTGATCTTCTCAATATTTTACACTCAAAATAGTTGTAAAAGAAATTGCTTACAGCTCGTATGGCCACAGATTATCCTCCTTCAGAACAACAGAACTCTTCACTAAACAAATAAAATTTATTTGTGCACAAGGCAGACTCCTAATATAAAAACGTCACCACATTTTACATGAAAAGCAAAATATATTGCTCAATCTCACTCTCAGTCATAAGAAAATATTGCACACTATGTAATGAAAATATTTCACCTACAGCTTTCCCTGCAAGAAATTTAAATAGAATTCCACCCTTTCTTCTGCCTAAAACTAGTAAATATTTTATTTAGGGACTGAATATACCTCTGGCTACATCCCTGCTAGTAAACTAAAACAGGTTAGGCCACTTTTGCCATCCATACTGTTCAACTGTCAGCAGGTCAGAGAGTCACTTGAGCCCAGATCACCAGCACTGCGCCCCATGTTCACAGTTCACATAAACCAACTTCAACCAGAACTATTAATGGTAATGACTGGTAACATATCCCACAGGTTGCTGTTTGCTTAAAATTGTTGCTGAATCACAATGACAAATTTTCCATGTCAGAATCAATATTCAGGTTGTGTGCACAGCACGAAAGAAATAGCAACCACGGTTGTCAGTATACATCTAATACTGTGAGCTGCAGATGTAAGAAAGGGTTTCTTTTCTATTTATAATTTTAGCAGTAATGTCATACAGGATCCTCAGACTCTGACATCGTTTAATTCATAAAATTACTGGGTCAAAATTAGGAGAGACCTCCCATCAGTTGATATTCACATTCCTCATGAATCACTGATTTAGGTTTCCAGCCTTTCTTTTAAAGGATAATAATTAAGAAAAGCATGAACCAACACTTCTATAGCACCTTTTTACTTCTGAGGTTCATCTTAGGTAAGCATCATTACCTGTATTTTTCCAGCAGGGAAATCAAGACACAAAAATATGCAAAAGTGGCTTGGCCAATTCACATAGCAAGGCAGAAGCGAGATGTAGGATTCCTAATTGCCAGTGGCTGCATCACATACCTACAATACACAGAGTTCTTGGCTGACACTTGGGCATCAGCTGTTGGCTGATTAGTCCTAGTAATGACACTAGCAGGTGGCAGTGCTAGTTCAATAAATAACTGTTACACCCCATCCTCCAGGCATCATTCATGTTACCCTTGGAGCTAAAATAACCAAATTCAGTCATGCAAGCCAGAAAAGGCTTATCATTTTCCTATCCTGAGCAAGCGTGGGTTAACTTCCTCTCTTCCACCATCAACAAAAAAATAACAGGCCCCAACCAAATCATCTGCTATTTGTACTTTCAAACTGACATGAGACATCGGTATGCTGAAACAATGAATGTCTTTCTTTTTGTATTTAAAACACACAAACAAAAGCAGATGATGTAGTATCGACAACTGCACATGGTTGCTGCATCACAGGCAGGTCATCCAGTCCAGTTAAAGAAGAATCCTAAACAGCAGAAAACATTTCACGCGGTTAATCCTTAGCCTTGCAAAATTCTCAATAAAACAACCAGATTCCTGCATGGGACAGGACACAGTAACAAGCTTCAGGAGTAGACCCTTGATTTGCCAAGCCCTCACATGGGAAAGGTGACGGCACAGTACTGAAATAACAAGAGATTACAGAAGGCTACAGGAATAACCTAACCTATAACGTAATAAAACCTGACGGATATCAGTAGTGCCAAAAATACTTACCAGTTCGTAGTTACTTGGAAAAAAGCAGGGTGTCACCACCTGGAATAAAAAATAATAAAATAAGGAAAAAAAGATACTTCCTTTGGAGAGGACCCAATCCCATTGATTGAGTTCCCTCAAATACTGTGAAATCCAGGTGGAGTCAAAGGGGCACCAACCAGATCAGGTGCAGAATCTGAGTGTCCACAGCTGCTCTCTGCTGCATTACTTTCTCTCAGCTTCCTGAAGAGTTAGCATTAGCTCAATGCTAACCCAGTGCCCTGCTCACATGCTGTAATCAGTGAAACAGGTTGAAGAGTAATGCCTTCCCTCAGGTCACATATGAAGGGAAACATAGAGGGCTTTCTCCCCCCCTCCATCCTTTGCAGCGTTCTTCTAATATCATCTCAGTTTTAGTTAATAAATAAGTATTCTGCTTTTCAAGTAATCTAGAACTTCAGCAGTTCCCAATACCTTATTCTTGTTCTGGATCTTTTTTATGGGGTGTGGGCTGAGCAGAGCAAGCAGAACACATATTCTGTGGACTCACATATTTCAGAGGCTTGGCTCCAAGTTAAAACTCTTCCTGTGGAGAACATGTTCTGCATACATCACACCAAAAAAACCCCAATCAACCTTGTTTGAATATTCAAAAACCAAAACACAAAGAAAGCCAGGAAAAACATGATTAACTCTGATTACGTGATGATCTAGGGAAAAGCAAGTGTTAGCTTCTTTCTACAGTCCCATACAGCAGGCACCCTCTGACCTCACACATACAGTCGAAAGACTGTGATTCATCAATTTACGCCACTCAGCTGAGCTTCAGTAATAGTCATCATGCATGCTCACTTTAACAAGCACCTTGAGGTTAATCCCAGTGAAAACTGTTTCATTTAACAAGTTCACCTTCACAATTACGGCTTTCCAGGACAGACTTGCCCCTCGACCAGCAGAGCGGAGCCAGAAACTCTGTGGCAACACCTGGACTACAAAAGTGGAGTTTTCTCTCAGGAACTGTTGGTGAGCTGTCCTACCAGCTGTCAAGTCATAGTATACAGAGTGGGTTACTGAGCAGAAGGGACCTGATGTGTCATTTATAATCCTTAGAATAATAAAAAGAAGATGCAGTTCATGCAAGAGAGCAAGCTACAAGAACAAAAAGAAACATCAGTCCTGTAGGCAGCACAGACAAAAAGAGACAGACCTGACTACACCAGGACAACCCACTCCTGTCTTAGCTCTCAGGAACAGGTTTTAACCACTAGCATGGAAAGGATGGCATTTGCCCCCATAACTGCTTGTGAAAAAGATGTATCTCTGATTCTCAATGCTTCTTAAATCACAAAGTACTTATAAAAAGAAAAAAAAAGAAGTAGCACATTGATTTTCAACTCCCAGCCTCCTCATGATCTCCACACTATCCCTAAAGAAAACAGGACAGATGTGAACCCCTGAGGTTTGTCTGCTGCACCCTCTGACTCATCAGTGGGCTTGCAAGTCCGAGGTCTTAATAAGCTGCATTTCTGCAGCTCATTTCACGACTGCCACTCATGACTCACTAGTCTATCCAACCAAACACCCATACTAAACACATGGAAGATGTTAACTAGTCTGTCATGATAGCATTCCCATTGCTGAAAGCAAAGACAACATCTGCCTCTGTGACCTCTTGCCTGACACAGCATGTAAAACTTCATACACCACCTTCAATTACAACCACCAATTCTCCTTTCAAGCCAAAGTGGCAAACCACCAGGCAGAGCAGTCCGTAGCAGGAAGAACCGAAGCGATGTGCACCCTGCACCACCACCATGAGCAGCAAACACTGCATCTATGGAGGAAAGACTGTCCCCAGTTGTCCTGACCATGCGATTATCTCGTACTTATTATACGCGCTAAAAATCAGTTTTTGCCAGTGTTCTCATTAGCAACACCTAAGGTTAAAATAGATAAAAACTGAAATTTCAACAATTACTTTTCTCTCACTGCCTATTCTAGGAAGAAGAGAGAGAATTAATGGAAACCCCAAAGGAGTCTGCAGGCTGGCTGGGTAGCGTAGTGGAAAAGCAGAGATGAACTAATATTACATGCTCACATAATTAATAATTGGAACCACTGCAGAATAAAATTGTCATCACTGGAGCACATAAATATCATCTCTGTTCTCTCCCTTCCCTCCACTGTTAAAACCCTCGAGGAATCAAGTATCTCCTTTCTCCTTGGCTAACCAAAGCACAACTCTACTGTAACCTCCTCGGTAATTACAGCTGACTCACTGCCTAAGAAAAAGAAAAATCCCCTTTATTCTGACACAAGAGCACTGGGGACATCCACTGGAAAATAACTTCAGCAGAGAATTATGGATCTTTTTTGGCAGATCTGTGGCATCTTATTCAGGCAACCCACACAGACCCAGGGCTGTAAGAAGATGAGAGCTAACGTTACAGGTAACACTTGCTTGATTTTTTCTCCTCTGAGCTTCACTATGCCTACAACGGCTATATATAGCAATCTGACTTTAGAGACAGACTCCATCTTCTCCTGGTTGTGTGTCTTTCGCACTTTCTTTTTACAAAGATCAACACCCATGTTAGATGGTACTATTCTAGGACTACCAGAGTCACATAATACACTTTCTGGTGTACACAGCTATCCCTTCGCCCTTGCACATTGCCTCTTATCACTATGTTGAACTGTCACTAAACTACAGAGCACTCAAAATGCATCATGCAGCCAAAGACTTGGATGCACTGCTAGTGTTTTTGAGCTACAAAACTCGGTGCAAGACACACTGAATCACCCAAGCTGCACTGACTTTTTTTTCCTCTGACTCCGTATACACAAATAGCGTATTTCTTCCCAGATGAAGTAAAATAGTCAAGATCTCTATGTATCCCAATTTCAGTTCTCATGAGCAGTTGCAGCAAATTCTTCCACTGTTAATACAGACACAGGTTAAAAGCAAAAGAGCTGACGTGTTCACAGATAACAGAGTCTATCACGAGGTATAGACAACCTAAGCTGAGGATACGTGAGTGGCTCCAACTCTTTTTCCTGGTTTGCAAAGGTCTGAGACGTGCTAAAAAAAATCAGCATTTAGAGAAAAAGTATAGAGCTGGAAAGCAAGATTGCAGGACTTCAATCCAGTATCAACGCAGAGATAGAAAATGGAGTATAAATGTCTCATTCACGGGTTTAAAAAGTTACACACACTGTGTACCAACTGCGCAAAACAATAAACTTGAGAAAGACTTTTCTGATCCCCCAACTGAAGCTACAGCTAATCTTAAAAAAAGATATCTGTAATCACCTGGTTTGTCAGCTTTCAACAGTTTCTTTATTCTTGTAAGAAATATACTGGATATGCATTAGTGTAATATCTCATAGTTCCACACAACCAAGGTGCATTTAGCTTCTGTACTTCTGCACATTCATGTATTAACAAGCAATACCAGAATATGGGAATGCCTTGCCTAATTTTCAAAAATAGTTATCTCTTCAGTGCCCGGCACATACACACACATGCATATAGACACATTAGTCTACCCACAAATAACCAAGCAAATATTTGAAAGACAAACTACCTGTTCTTGCATACACAGTTAATATGGAAACATTTTCCTGGTGTGGTACTTCCTGAATCAAGCCTTATGAAAAAGTCCCATACTGACAGAAAAAGATTTAAAATAATTACTTTGATGAAGGATTCCAACTCCAGTGAATCTGCGGGTAATTTTCCTTCATACGACTGTAACACCAGTCACATCAGTTAATGAGTAACCAACCAACATGAGATAAATGTTAACTCAAGCAAGAAAAAATGTCAACAAATAGCAGGATATCTGGCACTAAGGAAATAAGATCTGTCCCCACTTGCTGTAACAGACACACAACAGTGCCCCCCACTGTCGCACAACAGGTCATTTGCTGGCATATCTGGAATTTACATTTCAATGCTTTTTTTCAGTCCCAGATGCATCTTTCATTTTTATCTTCCTTACTTTTTATTTTCTTTTTACAAGAAGTAGGTGATCTTTCAGAGGAAGAACCATCTTCAAAGAATGAGCCAGTTATTACCAAAGGTGCATTTCAAAGTCCAAATCTCAAACACTATTATATTGCTTTTGCAAAAGCAATTTAATCATTTGGCTATACTGAATCACTTTCTTCCAAGCTACAGTTTTATCAAGTAAGAAATGCTGGCATGCCTGCCACAGGTTACGTGTAACACGAAGGATGTGCAGGGGAAGGAATCTTCACCAAATATATACGTGACCTGCTAAAAAATCTGTTCATTCTAGTTCACTACTAATCATGTTACAAAATTGATGAGAAAGGGTGAAAAGAGCAGCAAAATGAAGCCACTGACATCCTCCAAATAATGTAAAGTTACAGTGATGTTAGGAGACCTTGTGACTGTGGCATAAATGATTGTCAGGAGCCCAAATGGTAAGCTCATAGCAATATTTAATATGCATCTTTTTTTATATATATATGTATACACATATACGCACACACTTTTTTTTTTTTACTTTTTTTTTTTTTTAAAACACACACTTATCTATTTATTTAAATCTACAGCTTTGGAGTTAAGTCTTGAAAACGTAAGAAATTTCTCTGCTTAGTTTTCTTCTTTTGACATGCCTGTCAGTTATTGTCCACCTTCTCCAACCCACCCCCCAAAACATTCAAATCATAAATCCCCTTACTCACTAAGAAAACAAACTAAAGGACATTGAGGGCAGTATATCTTCAAATAACTCTGTGCTCTCAAACATACAACTTGTAACATGACGAAATTAAAAATGTAAACCCAAATTCTAGAATAAAAGGGACATTATTGGGATATTAACCTGGGAAAAAACAAAACAAAAAACAAAAAAAAGTTTTTTTTTTTTTTTTTTTTTGTAAGAAAGAACATCTCCAGTTGTGTGATATTAGTATCTAACTCAGACTTTTGTTCTGGAGATATCAAGTATCCTCATTTTTGGACACATTGAAAACAGCAGCCTTAAAGAAGACTTATCAAACACAGCAGAAACTAAACAAGCACTTTG